CAACTTCGAGACCCATTTCCGCATAATTCTTTAACTCTTCATAGTACTTGGCTTTCTCAGTTTTGGGACGAAAATTTTGTTGAAATGGTTGGAGCTCCGGTTGTTGAACGATTTGTTGAGGCGGTTGAAACGTAGGCTGTTGAAATGTAGGATGTTGTATGATTTGCTGAGGCGGTTGGAATGTAGGCTGTTGAACGATCTGCTGAGGTGGTTGAAATGTCGTTCCATTCATATTATTCGCACTTCCATAGTTAAATAAAGAAGGTCTACGCTCCAACCACATATTCTTGAGATTAGTAAAGAATGCATCAATGTCCGCGGGTTGCGCAACTTTCATTCGAGTGAAAAGTTCATCAGGTAAATGATTCATAAGGAATGACAAGGCATTAGCGTCATTATTAGGTACTCCTAGTAAAAAGGGTCGAATCCTATTCTCATATGTTTCCGGGTTATCAGTAGGTTTGAATAATTCGAACGCTAATCTCTGAATTGCAACTTGTTGAGTCCCAACCATTAATTGCTGATATTGATACCTGATCCAATCTCTGAATCGTGCTGGAGTATCGATATTTGTTCCATTTGGATATTGCGCAGGAACTGGTAGATATTTTCCTCCCATTTGCGATTTATAAATATCTGCCTTGTGAGCATCCGTAAAAGTGTTTGCATTGGCAGTATTAGCATCAGTAATAAGTGTATCGGCATAAGAAATTGCTTGAGCAACCCTGTTGTAGTAATCGTCCGGTGGTTCCTGGCCTATATAGACTGGAATTTGAGCAAGTTTCGGTGCAATAGTTAGATAGATATGTTGTCTTGATGCCTGAGCCATATCTTGTAAGTTATTATTAAGCGCCAAAATTTGTTGATTTAAATTTATAATTATTTGTCGAGAAATTTTTTCCTTATTTTCCCATTTTTTGTGCTTCGCCTTTTGCTTGATATGCTTACCTTTTCTCTTTGCATGCTTTCTATGCCAAGTTTGTAAGTCAGCTTGACACGTTTGTAAATTACCGGTCTGGAAATTGTGGGCCTGATTAAGAAGATTGAAATTATTATTCACCGTATCCAACTGAGCCTGTAATTGTATAATAATTTGTGCATCTCCCTGAATTTGGGCTTGAAGTTGAGTTACTTGATTATTCAAACCCGCAATCATCTGACCATATTGCTGATATTGGGTTTGTGCTTCGTTATTTTCCCAGTCAGCAATTTCTTTTAGTCGAAGTGCAGAATCATTAACCGTAATAATCTTGTTTAAAATATCCCTCTGATTCCAAGCCGAAGTGTGGGAATTTCGAACATAATTATCAATATGTATATTTTCATCCAGAAGTGTATCGAAAAGGTTGTTCAGTTCATTAGGCCTAGGCGGTTGAATCTGATCTGGCTGAGACATCTTAACTATATTAAGTGAATCTTTGATTTCTGCAGATTTATTATACTTCCGAGAAGTAATTTTTTGAATTTTATTTTTTAATATGATTACTTCGTCTTCGAGTATAGATAACCATCTCTCTAGATCAAGAATGTAATTTTCCTTTTTATTCACATCCTTTAGAGTAGACCGAAGACGTTTTTGCAAATCAGATACTTGAGATTTGAGTTCCTGTACTTCCTGTTCGTAAGTAATAATTGCGGTATCCTGAAATGAAATGGTTCTATTGCATTGTTCTAACTCTTTTATGAGGACGCGGATTTTTTTCTCGTTTGTTTGATTTATGTCTACTTCTTTACCCAATTCTTTACGCAACTCTCGATTAGTACCTAGCAGTTGTAAGTATGCAGGATCGGTTTGAAAATTCATATCAGATATCTAGCCTTAGTTTATAGTATCTATTATAATATTTCGTGATAATGGCAATGAATGTAGCTACTATTATAATCAGAGCTGATGAGGAATTAAAAATTGTTCTTCGTCTAATCTACTATCATGTACCCGGATTTGTTACAAATGCTAAAAAATTATTACAAACATGTCAACAAGAAGGGTATTCATTCCGATTAAGAGATATCGAAAAGTGGTTAAATCATCAGTATATACATCAAATACATCTCTTTCCGCAAAAATGCAAAGCTGAGGCAGGTTTCCAGAAGATTAAAATTCCTAACAAAGTACATCAGTGCGATCTGCTGGCCCATGGTTATGATGATCAGGATGGTGAAAAAATATACCTCTATACTTTGGTGGTTATAGATATCGCGGGACGCTATAAAAATGGACGTTCATTAACATCAAAAAATAGCCTAGAAGTTTGGAATGCCATCGAAGAAATTTACAATGATCCCAACGATCCTCTCACATGGCCGAAGTTGTTAATGGTTGATGGTGCCGGGGAGTTCAAAGGAGCATTCTCTCGAGGGATGGAACGTTATAATGTATCTATCTGGGTTGTTGATCTTTATAGCTTTGAAAGCCTAGCATTGGTTAAAGCATTAAAACGAAGGTTAGCGCAAATAATATACAAGATTCAATATGCAATAGAATCTAAATTACCAGCAGGAGAACGCTCAACATTATGGAATATGATTCTCGAAGTAATTTTTGATAATATGAACAACAGTCCCACACGATTAATCGGAATGACTCCATCCCATGCTATGACGTTGGAAAAAGTGATCTCTAAACCATCTATCAAACCCAAAAGACCTATTGGGGGAGACGAAGAGCAAATATCAAAAGGCACTACTGTTCGATACTTATTAAAACCCGGAGAATTGGAAGGAGGCCATACACGTCGAGCAACTGATCCATACTGGAGTTTACGTGTTTATCGAATCAGAAGAATTGTTGTTGGAAAAAATCCGCTACAGCCAGTCTTATATTATCTTGAAAAGGAAGCAGTTGAGTCAACCCAACATTTAATGGGCCGTAATCCTCGTAGACCATTCAAAATGGAAGAATTGCAAATTGTAGATATGGAAAATCTTGAATATCCGCCAGACGAATTTATCCAGAAATATCATTATCAAACAAGGCCAATCCAGAGAAAACCATTATCAATTGGAACAGTTCTGGAGATATCCATTCTTGATTAGAGAATCTCGGACAAAGTTATAAAGATCTACGTTATATGGAATTTCGATAAGGCATATATCTTGCTCCTTACAGATATTCCGCTTTTTTTGATCGCGCTTTCTCTGCTCATCTAAATCTTGCCCGCTTTTATGAAACATTGGATTAAGAGCGTAATGTTGTTTGCCATTAAATTCGAATGCCAGTTGCAATTCTTCGTTATATCCATCAAGCCGTAATCCATTCAAGAATTTTGGTGCACGAGATGGGAATTTTTTTCCTAACAGATCTTCGAATATATATCTTGATGTACGTTCTCCTCTTGAACATGGGCATAGAGGGCACCAATCATATCTCTTTGTAATAATTTCTAGTGGTCTCTCCCATAAGTGCTTCCTATGACATGAGAATAAGAAAGTTGTAGGACCGGTTTGGATGTGAACTTTTCCTCCACATTTTTCTGCGTAAATTTGAGCTTCAGCAAGATTCGACATGTTTATACTTACTTATTATTATGTATATTAATATTAGAAAAAATCATGTGCGCGTGAAAAATCTCAAAGATATAGTTAAACTAGTATCAGAATGAAATATCATTATATATACCACGTTGACGAAATCAAGCCGTCAAAAAAATTTTTAGATGACATTGATAGTCCAAAGTATCCTTTCTATATTGTAGTGAGTGGAAGATCCAACACCGGGAAAACCAATATGATATTAAACCTTTTTCTCGGGGATAAGTATTATGATCTAAAAGAAGGAAAAAAACAAATTGGCGAACGTCATATACGTTGCAATGATATTGTATTAGTAGGGCGCTACCCCAATGAACCAAAATACCGATTACTTCGAAATTTCTATAAGAAAATAGCAGATCGTTCCAAGCCGTACTATGAGGACGTTACATTTACTGTAATTACCCCTGATAAAATCCCAGATCTGAAACAATTTAAAAATCCAAAAAGACGTACAGTATATATTTTTGAGGATGTGTGTACTGAACCCCAGTCAATTCAAAATCGTATCATCCCATTTTTTACCAGAGGTCGCCATAGCAATATTTCCGCAATATATATTTCACATAAATTTACTCAAGTGCCAAAAATTATTCGTGAGAATACAACTCATCTTGTATTATTTAATGGCGGAGGTTCAAAAGATGACATTCAACGAATCATTCGTCAATATATAGAAGAAGATCCACGAAAAGCTTCCAGAGTCATTAATAATTATTTGCGGAATGGTGAATTCATTGTCTTCGATACTACTGTACCAATTTCCGATCCTATGTCCATCAGAGTCGGTTGGATGAATCCTCTAGATCTGGAAAAAGAGATCAAATCATTAATTGCGTAATAAAGAAAATAAATTATGATCGAGATTTTTTAGTGAAGCTAACTCCGCTAAGCTTGAATAACTTATCTTTATCCTCTGCAATTGTAACTTTTTTCCTTCGATTTCATATAAAAAAGATGTCTAAGTTCAATCAAATAATAATATTTCTCCCGTTATTTTTATATATATATAATATAGTATATAGTATATATCTTACTCGCCACTCTGTAGAGATGCACGTATCCAGCCGGTGTTGAAATTGAGGTAGATATATATTTCAGATAAAATGCACTCCTCCGTGTATTCAATCATTATTCTATCTGCCACTCATATTATTGAGCTGACCGATCCTGCCGGCATTGAAGTTAGAGTGAATATTGAAAACAATGGTATTAGCCTGCTAGCTTCGCTAATACAAGTCCATGTATTATTTCTAATATGGGGATTTTTGTGTCGAATGAAAATGGGTTGATATGTAAAAAATCAAAGTAAAAAATGTTACCAGCCCTCAGGAATAACGAAATAAAGTCTAAAGTACTAGCCCTCAGGAATACCTTAGGTGATTTTATTTTAAAATATATATGAATAAGTTATATAATTATTAAATCAAACAAATCGAATAAATAGATGTATATAATAATTAATATATTTACGCTTCTATTTCTGAAAGTCGCTTTTGAAATCTAGACCGCAATTGACTCTTTTTAGAATCTATCCAATTATACGGAATATAATATTCTTCATATTGTCTATTAATAATGGAACTGAGCATCATGGGATTGGGATCGTTTTTATATAATTCAATCCATTTAGTACGCCACTGATTAAATTGTTCTCGAGTCTGAGGATTTTTCACTTCATGTTGAGTTAAACCTAAAAATTTCTTACCATCTGGAGTATTATCATTCGGTAAGCTATTCCATGCAAGCCGTGCATTCGATGGCTCTTTCTCTTGAAATCGTATCCAAGCTCTTTGAATAATTCTTGCATGACCATCTCGAGATTTAGGTTTATCACACTCATAATCCCAATGTTTCTGCATCAAGTCTTCTGGCTTGATAATTTCGACATATCTACTTCTAGCATAATGAAATGTCTTTGTTGGTTTTACATTATCAATATGAATAAGTTTCATACAATCTAGACATATCGCTACATTTGCTTTATGGATTCTAGGCCTGTAGTAATCATGATTAATTAGCTTAGAATTTCCGAATCCACCAAATAAACAATGTACATGATATAAACTTCTTTTCCCCTCAGAGACCAGCTCTTGTAAAGGAACTCTGACCCGAATAGCCCATTGTTGTGGAGTTTCATTGGGTTGAATAACTGATAAAGTATCATATTGTCTTTCAGTCTCGAAGAGTTCATCAAAGTATCGTTGGTAATTATTAATACCACAATATTCGTAGATATATGACTCTACATATTTCATATCACATCCAGGACGATTATTAATGAGCTTCACTGATTTAGCTTTTTTATCAATAATAATAGAAATAGTAATACTTGACATAATTGGTGATTTAGACCTATTAGATTTGGTTCTTTATAGTATAAGAATATATGATTCAATTTTAGTGAGATTGGATTGTTAGACCATTTCTTAGATCTAGATAAGAACGCTTGAAATAATAGAGAGATGTTTACAATCGTGATATTCTATGAAATGAAAATGGGCATTAACGATCCTGTAAATAAAACAGATTTTTTAATTGTTACTCGATGGATGAAACATACTCGTAATTCAAAAATGATTCTATTAAGGGGTTAATGGTACTAGCGTCCTCTTCTGTTATTGGATTTCGCTTTCTAGAAATAAGACGTTTCCAAGCTTCATTTTCTAGTGAAGGAGGTAGTTTCCCGATTAATTCTGAATATGCTTGATTGAATTTTGTCGGCATGTTGTGGCTAATGTAATTATATTCAACGTATAGAAAAATGAAAGAATCTTTATAAAAAATATGAAAATTATCCAAAACCGGAGTTTAAATATGGTTGAATCATGCTAGAATCAAGCTAGACTCGAGCTAGAATCACGCTAGATTTTTTCTATATAATTATATGTAAAACATCATACTTGTGCTAGAGTCGAGCTAGAATCACGCTAAAAATATAGTAAATCATCTTTAACTACCGCTAATTCGATTTTTAGAAAAAAGTAGTATAAAAAAATATTATTTCATCCCTTTGATAAAAAATATATTTTTAACAAGAATCTAAACCATGTGTAGTTAATCCAATTTTGATATACCTGCATATGATCGCACGAATATATCAACTGACCTCTTACATGTTCTATGAACTTCTAATAATAGCCAAATTAGCTCGATGGCGTATTCGATACGAAAACATAAACGTAAACATATTAATATTCGATATATGAAAAAATACCAGAACATATATTATTAAAAATCCCCTTGCATTGTCAATCTTTCAAGGCTTTCATCTGAATACTTGTTAATTATACGAGCTTCTTTGATTCTAATGAAAGAAATTAATTAATTACATTTTCAATTTGAGGCGTAATCATTTGACAGTCTGATGATTGATTTTCAGTTCAGTTATAATACCAAATTTTTGGCTTGGAGAACATACATATTAAACAAATAATTTCAATAAGGCAAAAATCATA